TGGCATACTGTGTGGGCCTGGCATACCTGTGTGGGCCTGGCATACCTGTGTGGGCCTGGCATACCTGTGTGGGCCTGGCATACGTGTGTGGGCCTGGCATACGTGTGTGGGCCTGGCATACCTGTGTGTGCCTGGCATACTTGTGTGGGCCTGGCATACCTGTGTGGGCCTGGCATACCTGTGTGGGCCTGGCATACGTGTGTGGGCCTGGCATACGTGTGTGGGTCTGGCATACCTGTGTGGGCCTGGCATACCTGTGTGGGCCTGGCATACCTGTGTGGGCCTGGCATACGTGTGTGGGCCTGGCATACTTGTGTGGGCCTGGCATAACTGTGTGGGCCTGGCATACCTGTGTGGGCCTGGCATACCTGTGTGGGCCTGGCATACGTGTGTGGGCCTGGCATACGTGTGTGGGCCTGGCATACCTGTGTGGGCCTGGCATACCTGTGTGGGCCTGGCATACCTGTGTGGGCCTGGCATACGTGTGTGTGCCTGGCATACTTGTGTGGGCCTGGCATACCTGTGTGGGCCTGGCATACCTGTGTGGGCCTGGCATACGTGTGTGGGCCTGGCATACGTGTGTGGGCCTGGCATACCTGTGTGGGCCTGGCATACCTGTGTGGGCCTGGCATACCTGTGTGGGCCTGGCATACGTGTGTGGGCCTGGCATACGTGTGTGGGCCTGGCATACCTGTGTGTGCCTGGCATACTTGTGTGGGCCTGGCATACCTGTGTGGGCCTGGCATACCTGTGTGGGCCTGGCATACGTGTGTGGGCCTGGCATACCTGTGTGGGCCTGGCATACGTGTGTGGGCCTGGCATACGTGTGTGGGCCTGGCATACCTGTGTGTGCCTGGCATACTTGTGTGGGCCTGGCATACCTGTGTGGGCCTGGCATACGTGTGTGGGCCTGGCATACCTGTGTGGGCCTGGCATACCTGTGTGGGCCTGGCATACCTGTGTGGGCCTGGCATACCTGTGTGGGCCTGGCATACGTGTGTGGGCCTGGCATACGTGTGTGGGCCTGGCATACCTGTGTGGGCCTGGCATACCTGTGTGGGCCTGGCATGCTTGTGTGGGCCTGGCATACGTGTGTGGGCCTGGCATACGTGTGTGGGCCTGGCATACCTGTGTGGGCCTGGCATATGTGTGTGGGCCTGGCATACCTGTGTGGGCCTGGCATACTGGGGACTGTGTGGGCCTGGCATACCTGTGTGGGCCTGGCATACGTGTGTGGGCCTGGCATACCTGTGTGGGCCTGGCATACCTGTGTGGGCCTGGCATACCTGTGTGGGCCTGGCATACGTGTGTGGGCCTGGCATACGTGTGTGGGCCTGGCATACCTGTGTGGGCCTGGCATACTTGTGTGGGCCTGGCATACCGTGTGTGGGCCTGGCATACGTGTGTGGGCCTGGCATACCTGTGTGGGCCTGGCATACCTGTGTGGGCCTGGCATACCTGTGTGGGCCTGGCATACTGTGTGGGCCTGGCATACCTGTGTGGGCCTGGCATACGTGTGTGGGCCTGGCATACGTGTGTGGGCCTGGGCCATACCTGTGTGTGCCTGGCATACTTGTGTGGGCCTGGCATACCTGTGTGGGCCTGGCATACGTGTGTGGGCCTGGCATACCTGTGTGGGCCTGGCATACCTGTGTGGGCCTGGCATACCTGTGTGGGCCTGGCATACCTGTGTGGGCCTGGCATACCTGTGTGGGCTGGCATACCTGTGTGGGGCCTGGCATACGTGTGTGGGCCTGGCATACCTGTGTGGGCCTGGCATACCTGTGTGGGCCTGGCATACTTGTGTGGGCCTGGCATACGTGTGTGGGCCTGGCATACGTGTGTGGGCCTGGCATACCTGTGTGGGCCTGGCATATGTGTGTGGGCCTGGCATACCTGTGTGGGCCTGGCATACCTGTGTGGGCCTGGCATACCTGTGTGGGCCTGGCATACGTGTGTGGGCCTGGCATACCTGTGTGGGCCTGGCATATCTGTGTGGGCCTGGCATACCTGTGTGGGCCTGGCATACGTGTGTGGGCCTGCCATACGTGTGTGGGCCTGGCATACGTGTGTGGGCCTGGCATACGTGTGTGGGCCTGGCATACCTGTGTGGGCCTGGCATACCTGTGTGGGCCTGGCATACGTGTGTGGGCCTGCCATACGTGTGTGGGCCTGGCATACGTGTGTGGGCCTGGCATATGTGTGTGGGCCTGGCATACGTGTGTGGGCCTGGCATATGTGTATGAGTCAGACATACGTGTACAGAGGAGCCGGGCTACGGATCCACTTCACCTGGACAGTACATGTTCACTTGTGGCTCAGGGTGTTGGCAGCAGCTCCACACTCCAACATTAAGTAAGTTTATTTAGGTACAGATACACGCGAATACAGTTACAAAAATTATCATACATAGTAAAATATGTTTAAGTTACCAGTGTAATGGGGAGCCCATCACTTCAGTTTCCTCAGTAAAATGGTAGGACTCATCCTGGACCTGGGACCAAGATTCATCCTGGACCTGGGACCAAGATTCATCCTGGACCTGGGACCAAGATTCATCCTGGACCTGGGACCAAGATTCATCCTGGACCTGGGACAAGATTCATCCTGGACCTAGGTCCAAGATTCATCCTGGACCTGGGACCAAGATTCATCCTGGACCTGGGTACAAGATTCATCCTGGACCTGGGACCAAGATTCATCCTGGACCTGGGTACAAGATTCATCCTGGACCTGGGACCAAGATTCATCCTGGACCTAGGTCCAAGATTCATCCTGGACCTGGGACCAAGATTCATCCTGGACCTGGGTACAAGATTCATCCTGGACCTGGGTCCAAGATTCATCCTGGACCTGGGTCCAAGATTCATCCTGGACCTGGGTCCAAGATTCATCCTGGACCTGGGACCAAGATTCATCCTGGACCTGGGTACAAGATTCATCCTGGACCTGGGTACAAGATTCATCCTGGACCTGGGACCAAGATTCATCCTGGACCTGGGACCAAGATTCATCCTGGACCTGGGACCAAGATTCATCCTGGACCTGGGACCAAGATTCATCCTGGACCTGGGACCAAGATTCATCCTGGACCTGGGACCAAGATTCATCCTGGACCTAGGTCCAAGATTCATCCTGAACCTGGGACCAAGATTCATCCTGGACCTGGGTACAAGATTCATCCTGGACCTGGGTACAAGATTCATCCTGGACCTGGGACCAAGATTCATCCTGGACCTGGGACCAAGATTCATCCTGGACCTGGGACCAAGATTTATCCTGAACCTGGGACCAAGATTCATCCTGAACCTGGGACCAAGATTCATCCTGGACCTGGGTACAAGATTCATCCTGGACCTGGGTACAAGATTCATCCTGGACCTGGGTACAAGATTCATCCTGGACCTGGGACCAAGATTCATCCTAGACCTGGGTACAAGATTCATCCTGGACCTGGGTACAAGATTCATCCTGGACCTGGGTACAAGATTCATCCTGGACCTGGGTACAAGATTCATCCTGGACCTGGGTACAAGATTCATCCTGGACCTGGGTACAAGATTCATCCTGGACCTGGGACCAAGATTCATCCTGGACCTGGGTCCAAGATTCATCCTGGACCTGGGACCAAGATTCATCCTGGACCTGGGACCAAGATTCATCCTGGACCTGGGACCAAGATTCATCCTGGACCTGGGACCAAGATTCATCCTGGACCTGGGACCAAGATTCATCCTGGACCTGGGACCAAGATAACATGTAAACCAGAATAAATTACAACAGTTGGATAAGCTGAATGTTGAAGACAGAGTAAAACAACTGAAGTTAAATCAAGTTTATAAAATCGCCCACAAACAGTGTCCAGAATATCTTGCTGCCAATTTTGTCAAGGTTGAGAACGGCAGCAATCATAGCACTGGTGGGAGGGAGGGCAACACTGTGGTAGCCACAGTCAGTGGCCAGGTTTCAAACACCTTTTATTGTACAGCAATACAGGAATGGAACAGACTGCCTGTACAGTCAATGCCAGTCATGGCATGAACCAGT